AGGTAATTCCAGGCGAGTCTTAGCTGGTGACTGTCCCTTTAAAGGCAGTGAGCATTGGGTGAGCTGGGTGTGGCAGTTGCAGGACCCTTGCTTGTATTCCAAGCACTTGGGAAGATGAAGGAGAATTTTGAATTCCAGGGCTACGCAGAGACTCTATCTCAAAGAGAGAGGTAAGTAATAATGAAGAGACTGAGCATTTCCTGATGTGATGAGTGGGGGCCGTGGTAAGTTCTCTGTTGCCAGCTTTCCCCGTGGTGGTGCCATGTTGCAAGAAATGCCGGCAGGTGCTAGGAGCTGAAGAGAGCCCCCAGCTGATGGGCAGCAAGGAAATGGGCAGTTCAACACAAGTTGGTGTATGCCACCAGGGCCTCAGCAGTGGGACTAGAACCCTGAGCTCCAGGCCAAGTGTCTATCCACTCACCTCTGAGACCACTAGGAAAGAGGCCAATTGTGGCTCTGTGTGGACTTTTGACCTGTACAACTTTGAGCTAATAACCAATGTTGTTCTAACCTGCAGGCGTTGTGCAATCTGTTATGCTGCCACAGAGAACTTCTGCAAGGAGGTTTTCACTTCATAATCCTACATGGACCAAATCATGTAAATAATGACGTAGTAGCTCATCTCAGCGTATGCATGCTTTATCATTCCATTAACACTTTCCAGGTAGACCTTGTGCTGTTTCTAAGCATTTTGCTGTTTATTTTAGCAATGTTGCAGTAAACATTTTTCAATTCCTACAGTAGAACTGCATCAATTGTGGACCAACATAGTTTCCACAGCAGTATTTGTCCTTCAGAAATGGTACATGAGTTTACCTTTCCATGGACCACTTGTGATCACATTCACCTCCCAAAAGGTTGCTGCCACCAAATTTCATGTCGTGACAAAACATGCCCCCTTTTGAATTTTAGAATTACTGGTATAAGCTGACTTTTTTTTTCATGAGAACATCTGTATTCTTTCTTGTTTCTGCATTCCTTTGTGTCTGTGTTTGTACTACTTAAGTTAGTTGGGGTTAACTCCGTTGCAGTTAAATCTCCATTCGCATGACCAAAAAGAGAATTCTCAGGCTTATAACTGAAATGTCAGGAACACTGCTACTTTCTGCTAAGACCAGAAGGCTGAGGTGTTTTTTTTTTTTGTCATGGGGCTTGAACTCTGGGCCTGGGCGCTGTCTCTCAGCTCTTTAGCACAAGGCTAGTGCTCTACCACTTGAGCCACAGTGTCACTTCCAGTTTTCTGGTGGTTTATTGGAGATATGAGTTTCATGGACTTTCCTGCCCGGGCTGGCTTTGAACCATGATCCTCAGATCTCAGTCTCCTGAGTAGCTACGATTACAGGCATGAGCTACCAGTGCCCAGCTTACAGGCTGAGTTTTTAAAAAAAGTTTTTAATCTCATTTCTGCCTTCTGAGTTGCTTTTTTTTTTTTTTTTTAAACAAAATGGTTCCTGGCAACTCTAGGCTTATATTTTTCTATAAACACAGCTAAAAGAAGAATCTCTTTTTCTTACTCATTCTAGAATAAGCCTTGGGCGTAGGCCTAAGCAAAGTGGAACCGGTGCCTAGCTCTGAACCTTTTTCTTTTGCTTGGTAGATAAAATGCTGCTGATTGGGTAGACTTAGATTACAGGCTCATTTCAGAACCAGGTTATCTGGCAGTCCCACCTAAGCCACAAGTAGCTTGTATTAACTAAGAAAAATCCGAAAGAGCAGTTTTATCAATAGGGAAAACAGATACTGAGATGTGTAGCAGTATGCACTGAAGGGCCTGGCTGTCTACTGTGCTCATCTTATTTCTGGGACATCAACACTTTCATAATGTCCATATGAATTTTTCAGCTGAACCAGTCATGGTGGTGCATGCTATAAACCCAGCACTTTGGTGGCAGAGGCAGGAGGATCACTGTGTAGATGTGGATCTTGAGTTGACTTGGGTTGATGGCTAGCCTGAACTGATAGTAAAAGTATCTCAGAACAAGTAAAATAAAAAGAGGGACAAAGGGTGAACAAATGCAGTGGTACTCACTGGATACTACCTTGAAAATGAACTATATAGCTTGTGGGTGGGGACGGGAGGGAAAAACAGAGGGAATGGAGGGGAGACACTGTCCCAAAAGAAATGTATTCATTATCTGGCTTAAGTAACTAATCGCTCTGTACATCACTTTGATAGTAGTAATAAAAAAATTAAAAACAGATTCTTATGAACTCTTTATAAAACAAAGACATTAACTTTGTCATATGCCTATCAATGTATTTTTCAGTTTGTGTTATTGTTATGCAGATGATCAAACCCTGGGCCTCCAGTGACCCCCTAAATCACTTTCCTTGACTCTGCAATTATTAGTACACAAGTTTTTTTTTTTGGGGGGGGGGTCCGGTAGTGGGGCCTGAACTCTGGGCCTGGGTGCTGTCCCTCAGCTCTTCAGCTCAAGGCTAGCGCTCTACCACTTGAGCCACAGCGCCACTTCCAGCTTTTTTCTTTTTGCTTATGCGGTGCTGAGGAATCGAACCCAGGGCCTCAAGCGTGCAAGGCAAGCGCTCTACCACTGAGCCACCTTCCCAGCCCTATACAAGTAAGTTTTAAGACTTTATGTAGTCCAGCCAATTAACTTGTTCCTTTATGGCTTCCTATTTGGCTTAATAAAGCATTCCTCTCAGGATTTTTTCTTTTGCCAATTTTTTGTCCTAATGCATTTATTTTTGGTCTATGTGGTTTAATATATATCTGCAACTTATGTTGGTACTAAATCTGAAGCCCCTTTCTTCCGTATGCTTAGTCACTTACTCCAACAGAACTAATTGAACACTTCATCCTTCCCTCACACAGCTGAGCTATTTTATACCAGACTTTCAGTTCTTGTTCATTATACTCATTGCCATTTTTCCTTGTAAGGGCCAACCTAATACTCAAATACGTTTATAACTACCGATTATGTGCCTTATAGATTGTCATATAGATTAGGTTGCGCGTAAGGAACTCTGGGTTAGGTGTGGCTGCTGTGCCTGTGTTGATATCTAGCACCTCTTGCAGGAGAGGGAAGCAGAAGTTCACTCTCCCCTGCTCTGGCTTCCCTCCGGGCCGCCGAGGCGGATGGAGGGCGCGGCGGGCGGGCGAGCGGGTGAACCTTGGCCTTCTGGGCTTTTATTAACACAGAGGGGGAAGTACCTAAGAGGCACCAAGTTTTTGCACATAGGGTCGACTAAGTGAGGGCTTGAAAAAAGTCATACCAAAGACCTGACTTTCTGACCAGTCACAGAGCTGACTTCATGCGCGCTAGGAGCAGCTCTGTGGGGCGCTGGCTGGGCCTGGGGATAAAGGGCCAGACCCTCGGCCGACCGGCTCCGCTGGGGCTGGGTTGGCTTCCCTTTTCTGATTCCGTGCGGGCTGTTTGCAGTCAGACCCGCGGGCCGGAGCCACTCGTTGGAAGAAACTGAGTCGATGACAGCTCCGGAACTCAAGGAGAGCCAGGGCTGGGGGCGCCCAGGGCTGACCACCAAGGCGGCCTCCTTCCTGGGGGCGAGTCCAGACTGGCGGAGGCCCGGCCTGGAGGCCGCGCAGCGGGCGGAGGCCCGGCCTGGAGGCCGCGCGGGGGCGGCCCGGCCTGGAGGCTGCGCAGCGGGCGGAGGGGGGGCTCCGAGGGCGGAGGCCCGGCTGGAGGCCGCGCAGCGGGCGGAGGGCGGAGGCCCGGCTGGAGGCCGCGCAGCGGGCGGAGGGGGGCTCCGAGGGCAGAGGCCCGGCCTCACCGCACGTCCTCGGGGATGCGGTGCTCGGGCGCTGGGACCGCGGAGGGGCCTTCGAGGGCGCGGTCAGCGGCCGGGCGTCGCGAGGCCCCGGGGCGGCACGTGGGGCGGCCGGGGCTGAGCGCGGGGCGAGGCCCGCGGCCGCGGCGCGGGGAGGGCCGGCCCGGCCGAGGCGTCGTCCGGGTGTTCGGCCGCGTGCCGCGGCGCCGCGTCCGTCCCGCGACGTCCCCGGTCACGTGTGCGGGGCGGGGCAGGCCGGGGGGCGGGGCAGGCCGGGGCGGCGCAGGCCGGGGGGCGGGGCAGGCCGGGGAGCGGGGCAGGCCGGGGGCGGCGCAGGCCGGGGGGCGGGGCAGGCCGGGGGGCGGGGCAAGCCGGGGCAGGCCGGGGGCGGGGCAGGCCGGGGGGCGGGGCAGGCCGGGGGGCGGGGCAAGCCGGGGCAGGCCGGGGGCGGGGCAGGCCGGGGGGCGGGGCAGGCCGGGGCGGCGCAGGCCGGGGGGGCGGGGCAGGCCGGGGGGCGGGGCAGGCCGGGGGGCGGGGCAAGCCGGGGCAGGCCGGGGGCGGGGCAGGCCGGGGGCGGGGCAGGCCGGGGGCGGGGCAGGGCCGGGGGCGGGGCAGGCCGGGGGCGGGACAGGCCGGGGGCGGGGCAGGCCGGGGGGCGGGGCAGGCCGGGGGGCGGGGCAAGCCGGGGCAGGCCGGGGGCGGGGCAGGCCGGGGGGCGGGGCAGGCCGGGGCGGCGCAGGCCGGGGGGGCGGGGCAGGCCGGGGGGCGGGGCAAGCCGGGGCAGGCCGGGGGCGGGGCAGGCCGGGGGCGGGGCAGGCCGGGGGCGGGGCAGGCCGGGGGCGGGGCAGGCCGGGGGCGGGGCAGGGCCGGGGGCGGGGCAGGCCGGGGGCGGGACAGGCCGGGGGCGGGGCAGGCCGGGGGCGGGGCAGGCCGGGGGCGGGGCAGGGCCGGGGGCGGGGCAGGCCGGGGGCGGGACAGGCCGGGGGCGCCGCCCCGCGTGCTCGGCGTCCTCGCCCGAGCGTTGGGCCGCGGTCACCGCGCGCGCGGACCCGGCCCTCAGCTCCTCCGCACGCAGCCGAGGCCGGCCGCTCCGCCACGCTTCCGGGGCGGGACAGGAAGCGCCCGGGGGAGGAGCGACAGCAGCCCGTCCCAATGGGGCGTCGCGGAGGGGCGGCGGGGAAGGGGCGGAGGGAGCGGTCTCGCGAGACCGCGGCGGCGGGGCCTGCGGGAGCGCGTCCGGGCGGCCGAGGCGGATGGAGGGCGCGGCGGGCGAGCGGGCGCCGCTGCTGGGCGCGCGGCGCGCGGCGGGCGCGTTCGCGGGCCGGCGCCTGGCCTGCGGCGCCGTGCTGCTGGCCGAGCTGCTGGAGCGCGCCGCCTTCTACGGCGTCACGTCCAACCTGGTGCTGTTCCTGAACGGCGCGCCGTTCGGCTGGGAGGGCGCGCAGGCCAGCCAGGCGCTGCTGCTCTTCATGGGCCTCACCTACCTGGGCTCGCCCTTCGGCGGCTGGCTGGCCGACGCGCGGCTCGGCCGGGCCCGCGCCATCCTGCTCAGCCTGGCGCTCTACCTGCTGGGCATGCTGGCCTTCCCGCTGCTGGCCGCGCCCGCCGCGCGCGCCGCGCTCTGCGGGGCCCCGCGCCCCGAGCGCCCGCGCAACGGCTCCGCGCCCGGCGCCGCCCGCCGCTGCGCGCCCGCCACCTTCGCGGGGCTGGCGCTCGTGGGGCTCGGCGTGGCCACCGTCAAGGCCAACATCACGCCCTTCGGCGCCGACCAGGTGAGCGGCCGGGCCGCCGGGAAGCGGGGCTGGCCCCGATCCCACGGGCGGCGCAGACGCCAAGGCCCGGCGGCCGGGAAGGCCCGGCGCCCGCGTCCGAGCTGCAGCCTCCGCGGGAGGGGACGGTTTGAAGGGCAGGGCCCCGGCTCAAGGGTCCCCCGGGGGAGCGACGAGCCTCCGGTGGCCTCGTGACTCCTCAGCGCCACTTCCTGTGTGTGCGGGGGGGACAGGAAGAGCGTCTGTGACGGGTTAGCAGTCTGGGTTCAGGCGGCCTCCGCCCCTCGGTGCCCCACGGACCCGTCAGGATCCAGGGGTCCCTTCCGGGGCCTGGCGGCACCCAGCTCCCTGCCTGTCCGGCGGGGGCCGTGTGGGAGGGGGAGATGCCCGGGTCCGAGGCCGGGACTGCAGGCGGGGCTGGTGCAGGCCTGGTGGGCGGGAAGCCCCAGCAGGCCCCGTGCCCGGCAGGGCCGGAGCTCGCTCTGTGCCCTGCAGGCCTGCTCAGTGCCGGTACTGTAGTTCCCCGGACACCGCCACTGCCCGACTGTGGTTTGCAGATGAGAAATCTGGCTCCCTGCGGCCTGGGATTCAGCCGCAGAAAGCGATGAAGCGGTGGCCTCGAGAATGTACTGAAGGAGGGCAGACGCCCGTCTCCCCTGTGCTTCCGTGTCTGTGGAACACAAGTGGTAGTTGAGTGGCGGCTGGAGGGGGAGGTAGGGGTGACTGCTACTCTGGGGTGGGCAGCAGTGGTGGCCGTTGTCTGAGTATACTAAAGGCCACTGGCCACATGCTTGGCTGATAAATGCTGCATGTACAGCTCTGTAAAAATAAAGGTTAAGGGAGGAGTTGGTGCCTTTATGCCAAAGTACTGGATCTTGGCTGGACCCTAAGGGGGAATGGTCCCTGAGCTGCTGCTGTCTGCAGGGGTTAGTCTGTCTGTCCACCTGCCCTCCTGTGGAGGTGATGTGTTTAAGGTACTCTCTACAGTCTCCATCTCTGCATGAGCCCTAGAGGCATTCTGCGGAGAGGTGAGGGGCCAGCCGGCTGCTTTAGGGGGTGGGTGAATGGCTTTCAGCTGAGGTCCAAGGGTGAAGCCTCCAGTATGCTTCTGCCAGCTCCCGGTCTCCCCAGTGACAACCCTTTTGCAGAGGTCACAGTCCTCCTGCAAGAGGGACCAGAAAGAGGAGGGACAAATAATGCCCTTTTTCTAGGGGGAACAATTACAAGTCAGCCATCTAACGGTTCTGCTCATGTTATTCCATCCAGACCTTCGGCTTTGCCTCCTGGCTTGACTCTGAGTATCTTAGAGCCGGTCCTGTGAAAAGCCTGTTTATCCTGGCAGGGCTGGACGCAGCTGTGCCCTAGATGACGTACTGTGACTGGTGCCCAGTGGAGCAGTGGCTCTCAGCCAGGGGCTAGAAGCACCTGATGTCCCTGCCACAGAGGCGGCTCCCTTCTGTGTGGAAATGATGGCTGTGTGGGCTTGGGCTCTGGGAGGCCTTGGGTATAAAGACATTTTGGTTACAAACCCTTAGAAGTTGAGACAACTTCACCTCCAAGTTTGCAGGAAATGAGGATGACAGATTTTAGGGTTAGGATTCTGTGATACCATTGAACATTATCTTTTCCTCTGGAGGGTGAGATTTGTCTAGGAATTGGTAAGGTACTTGTGATGCCATTGTGGACGGGGAGGGAGTGGGAAAGGACGAATTAAGAGACAAGATGTCCTCACAGGCTCGCGAGTGTTTTTCCTCTCTGTTAATTTTAGGTCAAAGATCGAGGTCCAGAAGCCACCAGGAGATTTTTTAATTGGTTTTATTGGAGCATTAACTTGGGAGCGATCCTTTCATTAGGAGGCATTGCCTATGTCCAGCAGAACGTGAGCTTTTTCTCTGGCTATCTGATCCCTACGGTCTGCGTGGCTGTGGCGTTCGTGGTCTTCCTCTGTGGCCAGAGCGTCTTCATCACCAAGCCCCCAGACGGCAGTGCCTTCACGGATATGTTCAAAATCCTCACCTACTCCTGCTGCTCCCAGCGGCGGCGTGGGGGGCGCTCAGGCAGTGGGTAAGTGCTTCCTTGACCTCTGCGGCTGTGCGTGGGGTACAGCTCGCCTGTGGTATGTGCATGCTTGCTGTGCGCAGGGCCCTGGGTTATGTGGTGTCTGGAGTCCTCTGGAGATCGGGGTGCACTTCCTGAGATGGAAGTGCTCACATGTCCTCGGTGCCCAGCTTCCTCCCTGCCAGTGTGGACAGGCACGGCTGGTTTCTCGGAAGTTGCTTAGAGGACTGGACAGATAGAGCACGTACTCTGCATGGTGTTTTATTTTGAAGGCATTAAAGCCTTGGTGGAAATCGGAGCAGTTGGCGGCACAGCACTAAGATAGGAGGACAGAAGCAGTTTTGAGACACTTTCATGGGAGCTAAACTGCCCTTTGGAGTGGTTCAGGAACAGTCTTAGTGCTGAAGGTGTGTGTCCGGGAGCCCGTCCCAGGCCAGCACAAGGTAGCGGGCAATCAGACGATGGTCAGGTAGATGCTAGGCCAGATGCTGGCCTGGCCCTGCCACCTTCCTTCCCTGTGCAGTGGCGATGGGCTGGCTAGTAGGGCCTTTGGAGCTCTCCCAGCCACCTGTCGGAGGAGGCTCCTAGTGGCTGAGAGGCCTAGGAACCACAGCTCCCTGGTTCCTGCAGGTGTGGTCTGCCTCATCTGGTCTCAGTCGCAGTCCCCACAGATGATGATGGGATTCTGGGTTTAACTGAGAAGGAGGATTGTTCACTTCTCATGCTGGACTGGAGGTGCCCTGAAGCTTCTCTCTCCACATCCTGAGAACTCCCGGGCTCCTGGAGACTGCAGCGCTCTGCACAGCCCGGGGCCTTGCCTAACATGGCCGGGAGGCCAGCGCGGGCCGTGGGAAGGAGCGTCTGCCCCGCTCCTGTCCCTGTACCTGCAGCAGCACGGGTGCTGCAACATGGTGCCCCAGCGTGGCCTCTGGAGCCGCTTCTAGTGACGAAGCTGGTCAGGAGCCTGTGAGCACTCCTTTCGCACAGGGCATTTTTTTTTTTTTTTATCTTGACTCTTCCATGCTTTCATAGAAACTCCTTTGGCATGATACAAATAATTGATAACACCCGTCTTAGATACATCAGGATGTTAGAACTTAGAAATACTTTCAGATGAAGGAAGGAGTAATACCTTGGAAGTTAGAGCTCCTCTTTTTGTGTGATTATTTTCTCCTAGACCAAGCTTCTAAGGATATGTATACAGTGTCCTCCCCAGCGCCCAACAAGAACAGCACATCCCTTATAGTGGGACAGAGTGTGTGCTTTGTAAAAGAATAAGGCAGAAGAGCGGCAGCTTGGTGAAGCAGGCTGCTGAGTTTATGCACAGGAAGCGGTGGTCATGGCTGAGTCCAGAATTGGGAGCAAGCTGGGTAGTAATTGTTGCCTGGCATTTCTGGCTTTGGCGAGTAATATGCAGCCCTCCCTCCCCCAGCTTTGTGCCACCCCCACTGCATGGTCTTCCGCACAGCCGGGGAGCGCCTGCCCGGGGGCCTCAGGCCTGTGAGCTCAGCTGGTACAGGACAGGGCTGTGAGCTCAGCTGGTACAGGACAGGGTGTCCACATGCTCTCTGGGCTGCAGCTGTCTGCTGCACTGTGCCTGGCTTCTAGATGATGGTGTTGATGCAGAGGCGTGGAGTGGGGCTGCCTGGTGGGACGGACACACATTTGTGTTTGGACTCAAAGGGGCGAGGGTGCGGTGGAGGAGCAGCTGTGACCAGCAGTGTCTGGGCTGACTCCCAAGCCAAGACTGCCCGAGTTAGAATCGCAGCCCCAGCTGTAGCGTTGTGACCGCCCTGTGCCCTGACTTCCTCCTTGCATTGGGCCAGTAGAGCCCTTTAAAAGCACCTCAGCCTGCAGCCTGCACTAACGCGGGAGCCCTTGTGCCCGTGCGCTGGCACATGCAGCTGCCTGCTCGGTGTTGATTCCCCATGCCCCAGCACTGCTACCCAACGTGCCGCCGGCCACACAGGCTGGTCCCTGGCTTTGTGAGCAGGCTGCTGTCCATCTCCCTCCTGGCCTCCACACATCGCAGTGGCCGGGCCCTTGGGTCACCGTGCATGGCATCTTACTGTCCTTAAGAAGGACTGCTCAGCTTATTTGGAGTGTATAGTTGGTAACGGGATGAGTTAGAAGAGGCTCAGTATAGTCAGTTGGTTTCCTACCCCCAGACTTAATTTGTTGCCAAGTAATTGATTGTGTGGGGTAGAAGAAAACTAATTCCTCCGTTCTGTTTCCCAAAGTGAAGGCAGTGGAGTCTTTCAGCAATCTTCTAAACAAAGTCTGTTTGATTCATGTAAGATGTCGCGCGGAGGGCCGTTCACGGAGGACAAAGTGGAAGACGTGAAAGCCCTGGTCAAGATCGTGCCTGTGTTCTTGGCTTTGATTCCATACTGGACGGTGTACTTCCAAGTGAGTGCCGCAGGCAGGCCTCCAGCCTCCCGCGCCCAGGCCTCGCTTGCCCAGGCCTCCGGGGTCCTGGCGGTCGGGGCTTCGTTAGGGGCTCCCTTGGCTGCTCTGCTGAGGAGAAGCGAGGAGTGGTTGTGCTTCCAGCTCTCCCGCCCTCGTCTCAGCGTCTCGTTTGGATAACTGCCATCTTTGCCAAACGTGATCCCCAGGGACGGTGGGGGGGCAGCTGGTCGATGCGTCGTTTCGAAGCTTGAACCGTTGTATGCTTCTGCTTCCTGGTACGGTGGCAGTGCTCAGGGCTACCGTGTCACGGGTGGCGATGGCGGGCGCCCAGGTGTGCAGAATGTGCCGCCCCTCACGTGTGTCCCGCTTTCTGTGCCCAGATGCAGACCACGTATGTCTTGCAGAGTCTTCATCTGAGGATTCCAGAAATCTCAAGCATCACCACCACCCCTCACACGGTAAGGGCCTTGGTGACTCAGAGCAGACCCTCTGTCAGCCTGAGCAGTGACCGTTAATGTACCCCTGCTTCCCTTCCCTCCTCCCTCAGCCGAGAAACAAACAGTTACTCAGAAGTGTGTCTCCCCCCAGTTCTGGTGTCTCAGAGCTGAAGGCACTTCCCTGGGAGGTGACAGGTGGAGGGTGGCTGTCCTTCTGGGCATTTCCCTGCGGTATGTTGCTGTCTGCCTTGCCTGCCAGGGACTAAACCGTCCTGTGGTGTGCTCTGCCCAGTTCCCAGCAGCCTGGCTCACCATGTTCGATGCTCTGCTAATCCTGCTGCTCATCCCGCTCAAAGACAAGCTGGTGGATCCTGTGCTGCGAAGACACGGCCTGCTGCCGTCCTCCCTCAAGAGGATTGCGGTGGGCATGTTCTTCGTGATGTCCTCCGCCTTTGCTGCAGGTGAGTGGCCACGCTCCACCGCTCTGCCCAGCACGGCAGGCGTCGGTGTAGCCGGGCATCTGGAGTCCGGGTCTGCGGCTCACAACGCTTAGTGGGCCTCCATTCCTACCTCTCCCTTGTACAGTTACTGTCCTTCCTGGGGACACATGGTTTTTCTTTTAGACTGAAATGATAGAAGTGTTCTGAAGCGCACCTGTGCCTTTGCTGTGGAGTGTGGGCTGCTGGTGGGTGGGTGGTGAACTTGGTGCTCTGATCTCCAGCATGAGCACTCTGCCTGAGGACTCCTAACCCCAGCTCTGCTTGAGGCTCCAGAATCTTTGCAAGTTTGACTTTGTATGGATTTTCCTTGGGAGTCAATTGTATCAGATTATTATCAGCTTACCCCCTCAACTCTATCCCTCACCTCAAAACACAGTCAAAAACTGGTTCCTGAGCATTCTTCCACCAAGGGGAATTACCCTTTCAAAGTGCTGTCCAGCTTTCTTATTTCTTACATTTTGAAATAGCTTATCTTTGCCGATAAAGCTGAGGAGTTGATGGTATCTTTAGCTTGGACTTTTCCTTCATTAATATTTATAATGTTAACTTATAAATATTAATACTTGAGAATTACTGACCTGTAAACTAGCTGTGTGATAAAAAAGTTGATATTCCTGAATCGCCTACGGCAGGCTGAGGAGCTCTGCAGCAAGCTCTGGGAGAGCATCTAATTCTCAGACAATGGGTCCTTCATCTGCTGCCAGAGAGCATAGTGTAGTCTTTAGCAGGCTAAAAAATGAGTCCCTAGGCATAAGAAATCTGTATTCCAGCAGCTGTGATATTTAGATGTTGAGCTCTTGCTGGTCAAATACTGGGGCTTTTCTTTATGTTCATTTCCTCTCAGAGCCCTGCATTCTGGGACCTGAGCTAGCGCGAACCAGCTGGCAGTGGGCACTCGGGGAGTGTCCCTCATGTCGGGTGTCCTTTAGGCCGGTGCTGCTGGGTCGCCTCGGCTTCTTCCCGGGTCGGCCTCTGTGCTGTTTCCTCTTCTGTGAGGCGCATCTTCTGGCTCCTTTGTTATTTCCCTCCGTTTCATGAAGGGCTGAATCACCCCTCGGGGCTCATGGGGTGCTCTTGTGGTTTCCGGGCTTGTCTGTGCAGGAACAAGTGCCCCCTGAGTGAGCTGAGAGTGCCCGGTCAGGCTGCGGTGGACCTGCCCTTTCATGTGGAGTGCGGTGGCTTTGGTGGTGACCCTTGGGTGCCTGGGGAGGCCAAGGTGAGGGACTGAGGAACTGGAAGCGGGGCAGGACTCAGGGCCAAAGGTGGTGTGTGCCTGCCCTCCTGAATGGGCTGGGCAGTGTGCTGACATCGGCATTGCCCTGAGCACGGCTCACCAGAGGAACGCCAGCCACCCGCGCCCGCCGGCCTCTTCCGCCTGCCTCTTCCGCCTGCAGATGTGGTAAACGCTACCTAGCAGTGTCAGTGGGCTCGGGCCGAGACCTGAGACGGTGCCAGCTCTGGCCGCGTGCAGATGGGAAGGAAATGGGCCTGGGGCTGGCCAGGGCTGCACCATGTGTCTGCATTGAGCCCTTGCCGGCAAGGGCTGCGTCTCTGAAAGCTCTCAGATGCCACCCAGGCAACACCATGGCTTTCTTAGGGCTGCGTAGGGCAACAGGAGGGCGTGTTGACCGGTTAGGTGATGCTTGTCTCCTTACAATTTGGTGTGCGGTCCAGGCTCCGGTGGCATCCTAACTGCTCAGGAGGCTGAGATCTGAGAATCACAGTTTGAAGCCAGCCCAGGCAGGAAAGTCTGTGAGACTCTCCAGTTAACCACCCCAGAAAAGCCGGGAGTGGAGCTGTGGCTCAGTGATAGTGCTAGCCTTGCAAAGAGAAGCTCAGGCCCTAAGTTTAAGCACCAGGACCACTACTCCCCCCTGCAAAAAAATTTGTATGTGTATTGGGAGTTTGGTGAAACATCATTCCAGTATGTCCCCAGGCATACTGGAACACACCGCCCTCGGCTTCAGCCTCCTGCACTGGGATTGCGTTACATGGTTGTGTGTTTGGTTGGTGCGTATGAGGCCCTGCCCTGCCACTGAGCCGTGCTCCACGACTCTGCCTTGCTTTGGGTTACTGACATCATAGATGCTTCCTAAGAAGAGGAAGCTTTGGGCCCTGGTCAGGAGCATGCTCAGTGCTGACCCTTCTTCAGCAGGGCTGACCCGTAGTACTTACTTAAGTGTCTGTGCTGAACCAGCCTTGCCCATTTCTGTGAAAGCGAAATCCTGTTGATAAGCTGATTTTAACCTGCTTAGGAAGTAAGTAAAAGAGTGATGTGTGTTAATTCTATGGGGAGAGGGTGCAGGTGAGCTGTGACACACAGATTCAAGCACTCAGACTTCTCTGTGCTGGGACGTGCAGTGTTACGTAGACATGCATGGAGAGTCAGGCCATGTGTGTGTATGTATGTGTGTGTGTTCTGTGTGGTTCTTTGTAGGGCACTTGGGTTTTGGCTCACTGTGGTAACTGCAGTCATCTGCCTTTGCTTCTGTGTGGTACTTGTGGTGGCTGTGGTCACTTCCTTCCCAGTTCCAGATCCCCTGTGTGGCGGCTTGTCACCTTCCTAGGAGCCATCCACACCATACATGGATGTGTGAGGATGTTGTTGGTGTGGGTGTGTGAGGCTGTTGATGGTGTTGGTGTGCATGTGTGAGGCTGTTGATGGTGTGGGTGTGTGAGGCTGTTGATGGTGTTGGTGTGCATGTGTGAGGCTGTTGATGGTGTTGGTGTACATGTGTGAGGCTGTTGATGGTGTTGGTGTGCATGTGTGAGGCTGTTGATGGTGTTGGTGTGCATGTGTGAGGCTGTTGATGGTGTGGGTGTGTGGGGCTGTTGATGGTGTGGGTGTGTGGGGCTGTTGATGGTGTGGGTGTGTGGGGCTGTTGATGGTGTGGGTATGGATGTGTGAGGCTGTTGATGGTGTGTGTGTGGATGTGTGGGGCTGTTGATGGTGTGTGAGGCTGTTGATGGTGTGTGTGTGGATGTGTGGGGCTGTTGATGGTGTGTGAGGCTGTTGATGGTGTGTGTGTGGATGTGTGGGGCTGTTGATGGTGTGTGAGGCTGTTGATGGTGTGTGTGTGGGTGTGTGAGGCTGTTGATGGTGTGTGTGTGCATGTGTGAGGCTGTTGATGGTGTGTGTGTGCATGTGTGAGGCCGTTGATGGTGTGTGAGGCTGTTGATGGTGTGTGAGGCCGTTGATGGTGTGTGTGTGGATGTGTGAGGCCGTTGATGGTGTGTGTGTGCATGTGTGAGGCCGTTGATGGTGCGTGTGTGGATGTGTGGGGCTGTTGATGATGTGTGAGGCCGTTGATGGTGTGTGAGGCCGTTGATGGTGTGTGAGGCTGTTGATGGTGTGTGTGTGCATGTGTGAGGCCGTTGATGGTGTGTGAGGCTGTTGATGGTGCGTGTGTGAATGTGTGAGGCTGTTGATGGTGTGTGTGTGCATGTGGGGCTGTTGATGGTGCGTGTGTGGATGTGTGAGGCCATTGATGGTGTGGGGTGGATGTGTGAGGCTGTTGATGGTGTGTGTGTGCATGTGTGAGGCTGTTGATGGTGTGTGTGTGGGTGTGTGAGGCCGTTGATGGTGTGTGAGGCCGTTGATGATGTGTGAGGCCGTTGATGGTGTGTGAGGCTGTCGATGGTGAGTGTGTAGATGTGTGAGGCCATTGATGGTGTGGGGTGGATGTGTGAGGCTGTTGATGGTGTGTGTGTGCATGTGTGAGGCTGTTGATGGTGTGTGTGTGCATGTGTGAGGCCGTTGATGGTGTGTGAGGCTGTTGATGGTGTGTGAGGCCGTTGATAGTGTGTGAGGCTGTCGATGGTGCGTTTGTAGATGTGTGAGGCTGTTGACAGTGTTGGTGTACATGTGTGAGGCTGTGGACGGGGCTGGTTAATCTTGGTCTTGAGGGGTTTGTGGGACTCACCCTGCCACTTCTCAGCATGTGGGGACAGCACCAGGAGCTCAGCCCCTGCCTGTGTGTAGCCTGGGAATGGGTGAGCAAGCAGTCTAGGAGCTGACGAGGCAAACCCAATGGGCACCTTTGGTCCTGAAAAGGCACCTGTGACAGAGACCAGGCGACAGGACCCGCTGCGCCTGCGGGCTACGGCACAGGGATCTGGAAGCTTCCAACGCCTGGATCAGAATTGTCAGAGATCACTGTGGCAAACACCTGGTTGTTTAGCTTGGTGGTAAATGTTCATCATCACACGCGTGACTGACTGATTCACAAATTACAGGAATCTTGGAGAGCAAAAGGCTGGACCTTGTTAAAGAGAAAACCATCAATCAAACGATCGGCAACGTGGTCTACCACGCGGCAGACCTGCCCATCTGGTGGCAGCTTCCGCAGTACGTGCTGATCGGCATCAGCGAGATCTTTGCAAGTATCGCAGGTGAGCGTTAGTGCCAGGTGTCTGGCTGAGGGGATGGCGTGGTGTCCTGGGTGTTGGACTGCGTTGGTACACAGTACCCGTGGTGTTCTGGGTGTTGGACTGCATTGGTACACAGTACCCGTGGTGTTCTGGGTGTTAGACTGCGTTGGTACACAGTACCCGTGGTGTTCTGGGTGTTGGACTGCGTTGATACACAGTACCCGTGGTGTCCTAGGTGTTAGACTGCGTTGGTACACAGTACCCGTGGTGTCCTGGGTGTTAGACTGCGTTGGTACACAGTACCCGTGGTGTCCTGGGTGTTGGACTGCGTTGGTACGCAGTACCTGTGGTGTCCTGGGTGTTAGACTGCGTTGGTACACAGTACCCACGTGTTTTTGTATTTTGTGGCAGAGAGATTGTGATTGGGAGGTGAATAGTCAGATGGTTGCTGGGCTGTTGTTATAGGGTCAAAAACTACTCAGAAGCATTTTCATGACAATTCATTGCCTACAATAAGTCACCAGACAGAAAAAGAGCGCCTGGCTGTTCCTGGCTCAGCCATGGCTTATGGATCTGATGTAAAAAGCAAATCTAATGTTAAGACTACATCCTTGCAGACTTTGCAGTGTGGACGGGTGCCTGTAGGCACGTCCACCGGGCGCGTAGGCATGTGGACCCGTGTCTGCTGGCAGGCCCATGTGCCTGCTGGGCGGGGCAGGGAGATGCGGGACAGCCAGGGTGGTGGTTCATGCTTGCGGAGGAAGTGGGCTTTCATTAGCACACACGGCACGTCTCTCGCCCTGCTGCTGTAGGGTATGAATTTATAGACGGACCCGCTGAGATGGTTTTGAATCTATTGCTTTCAAAATAGAATCCCTAAGTAGATTCTTCATGTCAGTACACATACTTTATTTTCGAGCAGGAGTTTAGTTTCTTGTACAGTCTTCAGGAGCACAAATGAGCGGGTGTTGAGCCCAGCTCAGCTGCTGCCTTAGGTTCCGACACTGCTGCTTCCTTGAGGGTGGGTGGGCGCGCGCCGAGCTGGGTCCAGCGCTGTCTCCGTGCGGAGCCTGTGCTCGCTCTCAGGCGAGGCCTGCTCACGAAACACCTCCCTCCCTCTCTAGGGCTGGAGTTCGCCTACTCGGCTGCCCCCAAGTCCATGCAGAGCGCCATCATGGGCCTCTTCTTCTTCTTCTCTGGGGTCGGCTCCTTCGTGGGCTCGGGGCTGTTGGCTCTGGTGTCTGTCAAAGCCATCGGCTGGATGAGCAGCCACACAGACTTTGGTAAGAGCCAGCTCCTGTGCGGTGGCCAGGCTGGGGGACAGGCCTGCCGGGCTGCGTGGGGCCCAGAGGGGACCAGCTCCTGTGCGGTGGCCAGGCTGGGGGACAGGCCTGTGGGGCTGCGTGGGGCCCAGAGAGGACCCTGTCCCAAGGCCCCACCACCCTTCGCCTTGGCAGTGTTGTATGAGCAGCACTTTCGGGCCTCCCCTCCCCATCTCCCCTCCCCGCCTCTCCCCATCTCCCCTCCCCTCCCTTTTCCCTCCCCTCCCTTTTCCCTCCCCTCCCTTTCCCTCCGCTCCTCGCCCCTCTCCTCACTGGAGGCCTGTGCTTCCTGTTGCTTGCCTGGAATCCCTCTGGTGTGGCCCCTCCCTCCTCGCTGTGTCCAGACCACCAGGACATGAACTCACTCCTAAGACCTTCAGAAGCCAGCGATGCTGGCTGCGTGCTGGACAGTGACTGTTGGCCTTTTTCTGAGCAGTGGTGGCTGGAGAGCGCTCAGTAGGGTGCTGAGGCCAGCCCAGGGGGTGGGCTCACACCTTCTCTTGCCCTCAGGTAACATCAACGGCTGCCACCTGAACTACTACTTCTTCCTTCTGGCCGCCATTCAAGGAGTCACGCTCCTGCTTTTCCTCATTGTTTCTGTGAAGTATGACCTCCAGCGATCAAGAGTGGATGGAGGGCCAGCCAGCAGAAGAGTGGACGCCAGCCCTGCCAGTGGACGAGCCTGACCGCGGCCCTTGTGTGTGCCACACTGAGGAGCCCGGGCCCTCCTGGGCACCACACAGGAGTCCCAGGGCTCTCACGTGCTAGTGCACGAGACAGGTGTCTGGGCCGCTGCCAGGGCACCGGGGAGGGCTGCCATCACCCGGCCTCCCAGCCCTGTGTGGCACATGAACAGTTCTCTCTTTCCTCGCCCAGACCTAGTGCCTTACTGTGGTCTCCTGGCAGCCCGGCCCTCCTGGAGGAGAAGTGCAGGTCTCCAGGGCTTGAAGTCTTGGGGGGGAAGTATAGGTGTGTAGGTTGACACACATACTGTCACTTGCCACAAACCATGTGGTCTCCTTTTATAAATCAGCCAACTTGGAGTATCCTGAGGCAGGTGGGGTCCTCGGAGAAGAAGGTGTGTCTGGTGCCGGTGGGTTTATCTCTGTGATCGCCATGTTCATGGCTGCAGGTCTTGCCCCTTGCCAGGTGTTTTGGGAGTGGGTTGGAAGTGTGAATGTCTCCTGTCTCAGGAGGCTTCTTCCTTAAACTACAGACGTGATTGGAAGAGGCATGCGGCAGAATTAAATCTGTGTCCTTTTTAGCTACGGAGCCCTCCAGTGTGTCATGAGCCTTGCCCGTGTCCATACTTTATTAGCGTACTGATGAAACCGGAGCCCGATGGTGGTGAGGAAGCCCTTGCTAACGGAACTCACTCTGGACAGGAGGACTGAGCTGTGCGTGTGCTTAGGCCTCTGAGCTCTTCTGTCTGTGGCTGTGCTTTGGTGTAACTTTGTTATTAAAGCTTCCCAGACGTGAGCACGCGCTGTCGTGTGTGTGTGTGTGTGTGTGTGTGTGTGTGTGTGTGTGTGTGTGTGTGGCCGCTCTCGCTCATCAGCTCCTGGCACCTGGCAGGGGTGGAGCTGGCCTCGGAGGGCAGCGGGCCGCGCAGTGCGCACCGCCAGAGAACTGCTGACTGGGTAGTGAACACGGACACTCTTCCGAGGAACAACACGTGGCACAGGCCGAGGCCTTGCACTCTCCTAATGCCTGGGGCGTCACGCTCACTTCAGATCCTCATTTGTAGTGGGTCACGGTGCGCCTGGGAAAGGCCGTCAGGGTCAAGGGCAGAGGGAGTCTGATCCTGGCCGTTACCACGCATCTCCCATCCTTCCTTCCTTCCTTCCTTCATCCACCCACCCCACAAGTATCCTGAGTGTCTGGTTATGCACTGGTTGTTTTAGACTGGGTTGAAGCAAGGACAAAACCAGTAGACATGGTCTGAAGCTGGTGTCTCTGTGAGGAGATGGAATGGGAGGGGCCTTGGCAGTCAGGACCCTGATGCGGCCACGTCTCAGTCTCAGCATGCCGAAGAGGCCGCTGGTGCTCAGAGGGCACGCCACCACTCCAGCAGAGAGCAGCGTAAGCAGATGCAGGTGCTGACTTTGGGAAGCCCAACAGCCTTCACTCACTCCAGAATGCTTGGGTAAAGGTCGTAAGTCACAGCTAGCACCCGCATGGAGTCCTTAGTATTGTACAGTTTACGCCGTCCCGTTAACTGGAGCCATGAGGTCCCACCTTTGACCAGGTGCTCTCCTGCTGTGCAGAGGTGGTGGTCCTCGGGGAGGTGGGTGGGTGCGCCACGTGCCTCTCCTGTGGTGCTTGGACACACAGGCCAGACTTGGCAGTGCAGGGGCCTGTTTACTCCTGAGATCTGCTGTCAGGGGTATGTGACCCCAGTCCTGCAGCCAGGAGCCCCTGCTGACTGGCGTGGAGCCCAGGTGGGGTGAGGTGCATGTGGAGACAGAGCCTGTGTCCGGGAACGGGGAGGAAACTAGTGGAGAGCAAAACACCGTTCTCTAGCCCACCACGGGCTTCCGTTTCGAGGGCGTCTTGCCCCTTGTTCTAAGTCCTGATGACTGTGACTGCGAGGAGAGCATGTGTGTTTGATTCCTCAGCACCACATAAGCAGAAAAGGCCGGAAGTGGCGCTGTGGCTCAAGTGGTAGAGCCCTAGCCTTGAGCTGAATTGCTGAGGGATGGCACCCAGGCCCAGAGTTCAGGCCCCACGACCAACAACAAAAATGCATTTGGTATTAGTCCAGGCCTCCACGTGCAGGACAGCCTGAGGGTCCCGTGAAGGCAGGAGCAGCCTTGGGCGCCTGGCGGGCTGGCTTGGCTTGCGTCTGTGTTGTCTGCAAGCAGCAGAGGCTCCGCGAGCCCCCAGTCACTTCCGTCCTGAGGAAACCCCTAGGAGGAGAGTGGATATGCAGAAGACAAACAGCTCATGAAACACTCCCTTGACAAGGCTCTTCCCAGAGAGCTGGGGCAGGGAGAGGCCTGAGTGAAGTGGCCAGGGCACCGGCTGTTGGGATGGCTTTGAGAAGGGAGAAGGTAGATGCAGTCATGACCAAGGCTGTGGAGGGCAAAGGCTTCTCACAGTGACAGTAACAACAAGCAAGGAAGGGCTGGGGGAGGCTGGCGGGGCGAATGCACGAACAAGAGTAGACGAGGCGTGATGGCGCCCACTGCTCTCTCAAGCCCACCGCACTGGTGCAGAACCGGTGGGCGGGAGTCCTCTCCCCGAGCAGCAGAGCACCTTTGCATGCAGATACACTTGCATCGCTTCGTTCTTTCCATTGGTTGCTCAGTTCTTATCACAGGCCAGCCGAGTGGGCACAGCACAGCCCAAACTCAAACGGGGTGCCGAGCCTGGGATACACGGGCAGCGTGTCTCTCCACGTCATGTTCATTGGCTAGGGTGCTGGGAAATGGGTTCAGCTGGAGGGAGAAGTGATTGAAACCGTCACTCAAGCTGGCCTGCATCTCAGCTTGGACTGGGTTGCGGCGCTCACTGGGTGGACCTCACCGGGCGCCGGGCACCCAGCTAAGTTCTTCACTGGGGGTTGAATTGTGGAATCTTCCATTGTGCCCTGTGGGTGGATCCTTCTATTCCACGCATTTTTCTGATAGGGTATTGGAGCACCAAGTTCCTGCAGTCTCCTCATTTCCTGAGTTGGAACCTCCCGCTCCCTTCTGGGAGAGTTCTCACTGCACGGAGCTCCCCCCAACTTAAACTTTCCAGGATTGGGAGGAGAGAGGGCAGAAAGCGGTGGACAACCCTATTCTCTGCTCTGTGGGTCTCCGTATCTGTTCACACGGCCTTTCTCCTCCCACAGAGGAGTCTGGGGCCCCTGTGGTGCATGGGTCACCTGGCTTCCGTGGCTTGAGAGCTTCTGTCTGGGATCCTCCATAATTATTTCCCCAATGCTCCGTGGGCCTTTATTACCCCTCGGTCAGTTTCTTCCCTGGGAGCTGACCGCTGCTAAAGTGAACCTGCAGGCTGATGGCAAGTGCAGTCTGACCCCCAGCCCCGCCTCACTCGGGACTTCTGACAGATAAGATGCAGCGTGAGGCGTGCGGCCACCCCTTACACATGGCACACTGCTGACCACAGCCGGACATCTTGAGATGTTCCGGAGAGGTGGCGGGAACCCACACGCTGGGAAGGAATGTTCAGGAAGCTTTGGCCCTAAAGTGTCTCGGCAAGCTCATTCCCCCGCCATGGCGCTCGGGGCTAAGCCCATCTGGGTGGACACGCCTTCCCCAGCGCTCCACCCCCACCCGAGTCCTGGGGACCTGCCAGGCGCTGTCCTGAGACAGCTCTCAAGAGGGACCTTGTCACTACTGGGTATTACTGTTTTGTTCCAGAATGGTCTCCAGTGTTAAAGGGCTCGGTCCCCAGCCGGTCTCATTCCTCAGAGGTGATTGGGTCATAAGGGAACATCACCAGTGGGTCTGTGTGGTCTGTCCATGTGACTTACTCTCACGGTACCCCGCGTGGTCACTCATGGTCACCCCGCGTGGTCACTCCCGTGGTCTCCCCGCGTGGTCACTCTGATGTTCACCCTGCGTGGTCACTGATGGTCACCCTGCGTGGTCACTCCGATGGTCACCCCGCGTGGTCACTCCGATGGTCACCCTGCGTGGTCACTCATGGTCACCCCGCGTGGTCACTCCCGTGGTCTCCCCGCGTGGTCACTCTGGTGGTCACCCTGCGTGGTCACTCATGGTCACCCCGCGTGGTCACTCCCGTGGTCTCCCCGTGTGGTCACTCCCGTGGTCTCCCCGCGTGGTCACTCTGGTGGTCACCCTGCGTGGTCACTGATGTCACCCTGCGTGGTCACTCTGGTGGTCTCCCCGCGTGGTCACTCTGATGGTCACCCTGCGTGGTCACTCTGATGTTCACCCTGCGTGGTCACTCTGATGGTCTCCCCGCGTGGTCACTCTGATGGTCACCCCGCGTGGTCACTCTGATGGTCACCCCGCGTGGTCACTCTGATGGTCACCCCGCGTGGTCACTCCGGTGGTCACCCTGTGTGGTCACTCTGATGGTCACCCCGCGTGGTCACTCTGATGGTCACCCTGCGTGGTCACTCCGGTGGTCACCCTGTGTGGTCACTCAGGTATCTCTGTGTCGTCTCTTGGAGTCTCCGTGTGATCTTCCCATGTTGGGCTTTCTCACGCCTTGGAGCAGTTGTCTTTCCACAGAACAGGACTTGTCTAGACACTCGGGCTGGAGCCGTACTCTTAAGACCTAAGCGTTGAAGCCACGCAGCGCCAGCTGTGCCTCTGTGTTGTGTGGGGTGTGACCAGGTCCCAGCAGGATTGCGAGGAGGGGCTCGGATGCAGAGATGGAAGGCGCATTTCCCTGCTGATGCACACGGGTAACTCCACTTCCGTCCCCGAGGCCGGGCAGAGCCTTCCTGGTTCTAGCTCCGGCTCTGAGCCTGTACCTGCAGGGAAGGGCCTGCCCCACCCCTTGTCCACAGACCACGAGGCTGAGGCTCTTAGAAGGACCGGAGCCCATGAAGACTGCAGCAGGTCCTGGATACAACCCAGAGGTTCAGTGCAGGAAGCGTTTACATACATGATAGTGTGTCCACGCAGCCTTTCCTGGCCAGGGGCTCCTCTGTTGTGTGAGGCCTTGGGAATTGGAGGGAGTGGGGAGAGCTGTGTGTGTGTGTGTGTGTGTGTGTGTGTGTGTGTGTGTGTACACGCACACGGTGCCTAAAACTGCATGCCTTCCATGTCTGTGCACGTGTCTCTGTGTTCATATGCTTGTTCTGTGTGCCTAATGGCTGTGCATGTGTCGTGTGTCTCTGAGTGTGTGTGTATGGTCGCGGCGGGGCGATGTCTTACCCGACTCTGTCTGAAGAGCGGAGCGACCTCTGGGAATCCAGCAAGGCTTCCGCTGTCCTTGACGGAGGACATCACCTCCGCACCTCAAACCAGACTGCTTCACAGTCATAAAAACGAGACCTTCCTGTGAGCGGACCTCACGCTACTCTCTTCCATCCCTCACACGGTGTGTGCGCTACTATCCTTTGAAACAAACTCAGTGGCCCATACTCCTTTAAAGTGAGTGGTACTTTTCCTTTCTTAGGATGAAGGGCGTGGCTCTCAGGGAGGAGAGGGGATAGATCTGGCTGCTCTCCTCTTGGGGGTCATGGTTCAGGTCACTCACCAGCTGGTGAAGAAGCACTGGGTCCTTTGGTGGTGGGCACGGGCCCCTCGGAGAGTCTGCACAAGGCCGGGGTGCAGTTCGAGGGTTTGGCCCCGAGCCTCACCAAAGCCCCGTTGGGGGTTCCTCTCTCACCGGTCATTAAGCCAAAGTAAGGCGGACCAGGAGGTCGGAAGAAACTGCTTGTGTTTGGGAAATTAAGAATTGGGATTCAGGAGCGTTGGCATCAGCAAGGGAGGCAGCACGGAGAGTTTGCTTTCCACGGGGGGTTTGACCTGAAGGGTTGTTTTCATTGG